GGTCCCGGCGGCGGCTGCGGCTCTCACTTCTCGCCTCTCCTTCCTGCAGTCCCGTCACCAGAAGCGCGCGCGCGCCCAGGCTCACCTCCGCAACCTCGAGGCCTACGCCGCGCAGCCGCACTCTTTCGTGTTCGCTCGGGGCCGCGCGGGTCGTAGCGTCCAGCAGCTCAGCCTGGACTTGCGGCGGGTCATGGAGCCGCTCACCGCCTCCCGCTTACAGGTCTGCACCACCCATCCGGCTTCCACCCGCCCTAGGTCCCGTCTTCTTGGCTGAGAGGATGCCTTTCTTCTCCAAAGTGCGCCGGGATTCCATCTCCCTGGCTGGAGAAAGGGATCCTTATGGGGACCACGGTCGCTCCCTCTCAGGGCTTTGAGGAGCAGCAGAGAGGGAGCGCAGATGAATGCACCCAGCTTGGAGCTTGACTGATGGTTAAGAGGAGACTGTCAGCTTTGCTGACTCCTCTCAAAGACCTGATTCAAGTCACTTAACCTCACTGTGCCTCAGTTGGTTCATTTGAAAAATGTAACGCACAGTGTCAAGGGACAGAGGTGGTGCTCCAATTCAAGTCTGGCTCTAGAGGCCAAGAACATTCCACTCCCTTCTCCCTTTCTCAGAAGGGTTAAATGCAAGGGACATAACAGCTTAAGCTCATAGTCTTTGCCTAATAAGGGAGTATCTATAATTTTCCCTTTTTCTTTTTATCATTTCCAGATACGAAAGAAAAACTCTCTGAAAGATTGTGTAGCAGTGGCTGGGCCCCTCGGGGTCACACACTTCCTGATCTTGAGCAAAACGGAAACCAATATCTATTTTGTGAGTGGATACTCTCACTCCTTACTCCCCCACACCCTCCTCCCCCTCCCCAACTCTTATGATGAAACCTTGTGCCTCTGAGCTGTCATGATTCTGGCTTCAAAGTAAACGCTCTGAAGAGATTGGCATGGGTTCCCACTCCCCTCCTCCCTGGTCGGACACCAAGACCCTCACTGCTCCTTTCTTCTGTAGAAGCTGATGCGCCTCCCAGGAGGCCCCACCTTGACCTTCCGGATCGACAAGGTAAGGACAAGAGGTGATAACGAGGCCTGTGCAGGGCAGAAGCTGGGTTTGGGGACTGTACCAGCCACGTGTGGTTGGCGGTCACTCACCCGTCACTCTGCCCTGCAGTACACGTTGGTGCGTGATGTGGTCTCCTCACTGCGCCGGCACCGCATGCATGAGCAGCAGTTTGCCCACCCGCCTCTCCTGGTGCTCAACAGCTTTGGCCCCCACGGCATGCATGTGAAGCTCATGGCCACCATGTTCCAGAACCTGTTTCCCTCCATAAATGTGCACAAGGTGGGCTGGGCCTGGTGTGGGAGGGTGGGGCAGGCAGCAGGTCCCCCACACTGGTCCTTGGATTGGTGGTTCAGTCTTCACCTCCTAGCACTGAGACTGAGAGCTCCGGGTCCTGAGGTCAGATCCCACTCTTGTGTCCTCTGAGCCGGGCAGGAGGCTTCCCTGTGAGCTGTCATCCCATCTGGCAGGTAGAAAACAGTGCTGATGTTGCTTTATTTCCTAAGTTCGTGTTAAGTGCTAAGCAGAGTCGCGTGTATATATCGTGGCTCTGTTTGACGAGAGGAAAACTGAGACCAATAGAGATGAAGTCACTAGCCTCAGGTTGGACACAAGGGACAAGGGGGCAGGATTGGGTTTTTTTAATCTGTCAGGCTCTAGAGCCTCCACGTCTGTTCCCTGGCACCAGCGGGCCTCACACTAGCCTTGCTAGATGCCAGTCACCAGGGAGTCTGGTGTGGGCAACCTCAGAGCCAGGATTTCTAGCCAGTGCCCCAGGTAGCCCACAGACACCAGTTGCAGCCCTTCCTGTCCCTGCTGTGTTAGCAGCACCTCCTGGCCACAGCCAGGGCTTGGTATGGGCTCCATGCAGTGAGGCCCATGGGCAGCTCACGTGGCGCCCTGTTTTCTCTTTCTTCCAGGTGAACCTGAACACCATCAAGCGCTGCCTGCTCATCAGTTACAAGCCCGAGTCCCAGGAGCTGGATTTCCGCCATTAGTGAGTACTCTAGGGGGACGAGGTGTGGCTCCATGTGCGGCTGATGACAGCACTGCTGCTGAGACTCTGTGATTGCTTAGTCTCAAAGTAAACGCTCTGACGCACCTGCCAAAGGATTTGGGTAGGGCATTAAGCTGACTCCTGACCCCCTGGCGCCTAACTCCGCTCCTCGTTAATTCCCGCCCCTGCAGTAGCATCAAAGTGGTCCCTGTGGGTGCAAGTCGTGGGATGAAGAAGCTTCTCCAGGAGAAGTTCCCCAACATGAGTCGCTTACAGGACATCAGTGAGCTTCTGGCCACGTAAGGAGGGCAGGGGTCTACCACAGTCTACCCAGAGCTGTCCCAGGAGCCTGGGATCCCCTGCTGAGCCCCTTGTGTGCCCCCACAGGGGTGCAGGGCTGTCTGAGAGCGAGGCGGAGCCCGACGGTGAGCACAACATCACAGAGCTGCCCCAGGCCGTCGCGGGGCGAGGCAACATGAGGGCCCAGCAGAGCGCCGTGCGGCTCACCGAGGTGAGGCCCAACCCCCAGTAGGCCCAGTTCTTTCCCCCAGCCCTGAGGAAGGACTGACTCCCCGACCTTCGTCCCTCCAGATCGGGCCTCGGATGACCCTGCAGCTCATCAAGATTCAGGAGGGCGTTGGAGCAGGGAACGTGTTGTTCCACAGCTTTGGTGAGGAGGGGGCTGGAGGGCATCAAGGGCTGAGGCCTGATCAGAGGTGGGTGGCAAGGTGCTGGGGGGGACTTCTGGATCTTGGTGAAGGTCTCAGGAGCCATCTCTCCCTATTCAGTGCACAAAACGGAGGAGGAGCTGCAGGCCATCCTGGCTGCCAAGGAGGAAAAGCTGCAGCTCAAGGCACAAAGGCAGGACCAGCAGGCCCAGAACGTCCAGCGCAAGCGGGAGCAGCGAGAGGCCCACAAGTGTGTGGTCAACCAGGCAGGGGAGGTGGGGTCCTGGGCACAGGCTGCCATATTAACATCCGTTCTCCAGGAAGAAGAGCCTGGCAGGCATGAAGCGGGCACGGGCAGAGGCTGATGGGGACAGTGATGCAGAGGACCCCGGGGCTCCTCCAGAGGCAGAGGGTGCCAACCAGCGAGAGGAAGAGGAGGATGAGGCCGAGTATTTCCGCCAGGCTGTGGGCGAGGAGCCTGACGAGGGTGTGTGGCAGGCCGGGGTCAGTGCAGCTGGGTGCCATGGGCCTGTCTCTGTGCCCTGGTGGCCCTGACACAGTCTCTCCTTGCAGACATGTTCCCAAAAGCAGCCACGCGGAGACGGCCTGCTGGGCCCCCCAGCAAGAAGCGGCGGGTAAAGGAACGGAAGCCAGAACAAGGCAGTGGCCGGAGGCCTCCAAAGGCCAAGGGCAGGCACTCGGGAGCCCAGGCCAAAGTGGGACCCAGCGGGGCTGCCCGGGACCACGGACGAGGCCGAGCTCCTCGACCTAAGAGAGTAGCCTGAGGCCAAGCCTTAGTAACAGATGGAATGCCCCAGATTGGGGCCTGAGAGATGCTGCCCTCTGCTCCCTTCCTGGGCCTCCAGGTGCAGCCCTCTGTTTCCTTTCATAAAGGAGAGCTGTTTTCCCAACCTCCTCCTCCAGTAAACTGCTTTCTCACAGGTCTGAGTCTGCATTTGAAATGGGACACCGTTTCTGCCCCAAGGCTGGGCGCCTTTCCTCCACCTTGAATGGTCGAAGTGCCAGGGTGGTGGCAGATTACATCTTGCTCTGGTGCCCTGGGGTCCTGGGCCCTTCTCTGCCCTCCCCCCAGACCAAGGGCCCCACAAGCAAGCAGGCCAGTTCTGGAGGGTTGGCTGTCATGAGGAAGGAAATGGGGTGGGAGTGAGGCGCACACCCAGACCCGCCCAGCTGGGTGAAGGTGGAGCTGGGAATGGGGAGGAACCAGCGGTGCTGTTTGTGGTTTGGGGAGGAGCCAGCAGTGCTGCTTGTGGCTTGGGGAGGGACTGGCACAGCGTGGGCTGCAGACTCAGGTGGATGCGCCATGGCCTCCACCGCCTCAGGTGAGGAGCCAGCACTGCTGGGGCAGTTGAGCCAGGCACATACCCAGGGCCACAGGAGTGGAGGCGGCTGGCTCCAGGGAGGTGGCGGGGTGACGGGATAAGAATCATGTCAGGACAGACTTCCTCCCAGAGTAGAGGGATGAGTTAGGAAGGAAGTGAGGATGGAAGCTGTCTGGGGCAGGGGAGGCACATGTGCACCACGCACAGAGCTCATGGCCCAACTGCTGGAGCGACCAGGAATGGGCCATTCATTTCTCAGGTTGGAAAGTTGAGGCTGAGAAGGGTGCCTGAAGGATCAACTCCAGAGCGTAGCTCTTCCCCACACTGCTGTGTCCAGGTACTGTTCTGGGCACTGGTGGAAGCCATGGGGGGGAAATAAGCAGGGTAGGGGGCCGAGGGGAGTGGTCACAATGTTAGGGTAGTCAGAGTGGGCCTCAGGACCAGTGACCAGGAGGTGCGCGGGGGGCAGCCCTAAGGATGACTGTCGCCGGTGATTCAGCCAGTGCAAAGACCCTGAGGCAGGCTATGCCTTGAAACCAGTATGGGACAGACTGAGTCACGGGGAGCCAGCGGGAGATAAGCGATGGGGGATGGGGTGGAGGGCCTGCGGGCCCTTGTGTGCTGATGTGAGCACTGGCTTTTCCTCTCCCTGAGGGAATTCGGAGAGGGCTGGGAGCCTAGGGATGTGACCTGACTCATGTGTCCACAGGTGCAGGCTGTGGGGAGAACAGACGGGGGAGGGCAAGTGTAGGGAGACCTGGGGAGGAGAGTCCATGCTGGTCCAGGTAGACGGTGGGGTCTGGACTTGGGTGGCACTAAGGGGGTGATATACTCTGAAGGTGGAAACTTGCTGACAGATGGGATTTGGGAGTTGTGTGGTGGGGTGGGACCCTCCCCCAGGCCCCGGCTCCTCCAGGCCTGAAGGCTCTGGGTCATCACTGCCAAGTGACGTGCGTCCCTAGTTCTTGGCCCAGCTTGTTTTGGGGGATAATTATGTTTACTTATTTACATGGAGGTACTGGGCATTGAACCCAGGACCTCATACATGCTGGGCACACACTACCACTGAGCTATACCCTCCCCACTGCCCTGCTGGTTCTTGATGGTGCAGGACACAGAGCCTAGTAAACGGCAGCTGAATGAAGGATTCTTTGGGCTTCTAATCTTTCTGGGCCTCAGATTCCCTCGGTGAAAAGCTATGGCTGGCACCCCCTCCTGAGTGGAAAGCATGCCCTCAGAGGGCTGGCACAGGCCCAGCACACCGTGGGTCCTCGGTGCCACAGCGCTGGGGACTCTGAAAGCAGTGGGGGCCACAATCGGGGACAGGGCTTACTCGGCAACATCCTCTGCCCACAGGCGCCTCACACTGCCCAGCCAACTTCTCGGCGGCTGCTGACCGCATCCTCAGTGGCTTCCAGGAAGGCTTCCTGTGGCCCATACTGGTGGTCACATTCCTGGTGGCCTTGGCTGGCAACAGCCTAGCTCTGTACCGCTTCTACACCCGGGAGCAGCGCCCGTGGCACCCAGCTGTGATCTTCTCAGCCCAGCTGGCTGTCAGCGACCTGCTCTACGCGCTGACGCTGCCCCCGCTGGCTGCCTACTACTACCCACCCAAACACTGGCGCTACGGGGAGGCTGCGTGCCGCCTGGAGCGCTTCCTCTTCACCTGCAACCTGCTGGGCAGCATCATCTTCGTCACCTGCATCAGCCTCAACCGCTACCTGGGCGTCGTCCACCCCTTCTTCACCCACAGCCAACTGCGGCCCAAGCACGCCTGGGCCGTCAGCGCCGTGGGCTGGGCGCTGGCAGTCCTGCTGGCGGCACCCACACTCAGCTTCTCCCACCTGAAGAGGCCACCACAGGAAGGCCACTGCACCATGGCCAGGCCCGAAGCCTGCATCAAGTGCCTGGGGACAGCAGATGACAACTGGATCGAGGCCTACAGAGCTTACAGCCTGGTGCTGGTGGCCTTGGGCGGTGGCCTGCCACTGCTGCTCTCCCTGGTGGCCTATGGCGCCCTCGGGCGGGCCGTGTGGCGCAGCCACAGCATGACAGTGGCCAACAAGCTGCAAGTGATGGTGCTGGTGAGCAGCGGCGTGGCTGTCTACGCCAGCTCCTACATGCCCTACTATGTCACACGGGTGCTCAACGTGTACGCCCAGCTGCGCTGGAAAGCCCTCTGCCCAGGCTTTGCCAGCGTGCCCCAGGCCGAGCAGGCGCTGGACTTGAGGACTTACGTGGCCCACCAGGTAGCACGGGGCCTCGTGCCCCTGGCCATCTGCATCCACCCACTGCTCTACATGGCCGTGGCGCCCAGCTTGGGCTGCTGCCACCAACCCTGCTTGGGCTGCAGGCAGGGCCAGACCCCAGAGAACACCGAGTGCTCCGGCCAAGTCCTGCCCCTCAATGTCCCAGCTGCCTCCAAAGCCTCAGGGCCCCAGTCCCCTGAGTTGAGCCCATGACCTGGCCCATCCTCAGCCCCCTCCTCACAAGACCTGGCAGCTGAATGGAGACAGAGCACAGCTGGCCCCCGGCCCTGAGACCCCAACAGGCCTCAAGCCAACACTTCCTCCCCAAGGAGAGGCCTATGGTGGGACAAGCAAACACCCAGGCTTGAGTGGCAGGAACTTCTGCCCACAGCACCAACCCAGGCAGGGCCAGGGAGCCGACCCTCGAAGCGGGGAAGGAAAGGAGGGCAAGGCTAGCCTCACCCGCCACATTGTGGGTGACATCTGCAAATAAATGGAACAGCACAGGGTGACTGGAGACTCTTTATTGCCCTTGGAGCCCCCTGCTCCCAGAGGCTTCCTTCTGTCACTGAAGGATCCCGGGGTTGGGGGCCGAGCAGCAGCAGCTGGTTTAGTTGGTTGATGGCCTAGAGAGGAGATGGGAGGTGGCTGAGGATGGTAAGTGCTGGGGCTTCAGACTCCTGAGAGAATCCTAAGAGTCCCCCCACCACACAACAGGGGTTTCAGCAGTGGGCAGGGGGAGACAGCATGGTGGCACAGGGCACACGAGGAGCCAGACTGGCGATGACCAGCCTGGCCCTGCCGCACGTGGGTGGTGGGCCCCTCCACCAGAGGAAAAGGACAATTGATGACCTGCACCCCAAGACAAGCTTGGAGGCCATTAACCGGGTGTGGGGCCACAGTCAGCCTGAGTGTCGGCTGTGACACCAAGGGGAGTGGGGGAGAGCAGGGGTCTTACTTGGCCCACTCGACGTTGAGGATAAGGTGGTCATAGCCGAAGCCCGACACCCCAGCGATGGCGCGGGCAGCGTCCTCGCGGCGGTGGAAGCTGATGAAGGCAAAGCCCTGGGGGAGGGGTGGGGTCAGGGGCATTCAGGGCACAGGTGGGATCACAACCCCTCCCCACCCCCAGGGCCACCAGCCCACCTTGGACTGGCCAGTGGTCTTGTCCTTTGCCAAGTAGATGCGGGAAATGGAGCCAAAGGGCCGGAAGAGCTCCTGCAGGTCTGTCTCACGAGTGTCCTCTGACAGGTTGGTGACGCGGATGGTGGCGTTGTCATCGGCTGGGCAGGCAAGGAGAAGCATCTGTGAGGAGCCAGCCCCACCCGCAGGATAATCACAGGGTGCGGGGAGGTGCCCGCCTGCAGGCCCGGAGCCAGGATGCCCTCCCTGCCTCACCTCTGCGGTTGGGCTGCATGGACTCGCCGCGGCGGCTGGCCCCATCCCGCAGGCTCGGAGGTACATACTTCCCCGTCTTGTTCTGAGTGGCCTGCACGGGCTCCAGCTCTGGAGACCAAAAGCAAGGTCGGGTCAAGCCTCCCTGGCACAGATGGAGGGTCAGACCTGCTCCAGGATACTGGTAGCTCTGGTCATGATCAGCCCAAGCACCCTCCGTTAAACCACAGGCATCCGGTTAGCCCCTTCAAGGCCTGGTGGCCATGGTGACTTAAAGACCACACCCAGGAAGCTGACGTCATTTAAACACCCTGCCAGCAGCACAAGAAAAGTGAGAACCCACAGAGCTGGACAGTCACACCAGCCTCACAACTACACACAGGTACATGGGGTAGGAACAGTCCCCAGGTGCCCCCCACCCCAGTAGGTGACAGTGTGCCACACACACGTCATGAACGTAGAGCTGTCCAGACTAAAACTCACCATCAGCGAATCACAGTCACATGAGCAAGTCTGCTCCTAGGTGTGTGCATGCAAACACAGCACACTCAAGTCACGACGGTCACACAGATACATCAGAGAACAGCTGTCCCCCCACCACTCACAGTGTAGTCCCACGTACAGGCGCACACACAAGCAGCTACCACAGACCCCCACGAGGAGAGACAGTGACATCACCAGCAGCCAGAGCGCCCCGCCAGTGTCTCTCACACACAAACACTGACTGTGGCCACAGCCTCGTGCTGCTGACGCTGTTGTACAGGAGATGACAGCCGCATCGGGGGCGGCCTTGGTCAGACAGCAGGTGATGAGCCAGGACTCTCCCAGAGGTGCACACCGTCCCTGCCCCTGTCCCCTGCCTGCCAGCTGCACCCCCAGGCCCCTGCACCTCCAGGCAGCTTCTCCTTCTCGCCAGTGGACAGGCCCAGCTGCTCCGCCAGCTCCTTCTGCATGGGCCCCAGTGTGTCCTTGTAGGGGCAGCGGGTGGTCCAGTGGTCGCCCTTGCAGATTCGGCAGGACACAATCTTCTGGCCCTTGAGCTTGTTCATTGGGTCCTCCTCTTCCTGACAGTTCAGATCCTGGCAGGGCAGGTGGGGGCAGCTCACACGGGGCTACTGCCCCACTGCGGCCGCCACAGCCCTGGCCACTGGCCCTGGCCCACTGCCCCACATACCTCTTTGCTGGTGATAAACGTCATGGACACATCATCGCTGACCGTGGTGGTGGCCACATTGGGCCCCGGCGGGTCAAACTCTGAGTTCCCAAACTTCTTCCAGTTCTGAGCTCAGGGTGGGATGGGGGACAGGTCAGGGCAACAAGTGGACCCCTTCCACTGGCACCCAAGACTTACAATACCCATGTCCAGGGTGTCTGAGCCTTGAACTCCATTTTCCACCCTCCCCAAACGACCCTCACAGTGGTGACAACAGTTCCCATTCCCTGAGTGCCTGCCAAGCCCAAGCTTCTCTTCAGCTCTAGGAGGCAGGGGCAGCTCTCAGCCCCATGTCCCAGATGACAGAAGTGAGGCTCAGGAGGAAACAGCTTCACTGCCAACAACTCCTGGCAGGGGCCATGCAGGTAGCGAATCAGCTCCTAGCACAAAGTGATGCTGGGGGGTGTGTAGGGGTCACCGAGACTTTCAGGGTCCTTAAGCTAGTTAAAACCTGAACCTTAGTTTCCTCACCTATAAAAAGAGGACCACAGTGCTCCCCACCTCCCTGGGGTGCAAGGGGGACTGAATGAGCAAACACTTCCTGCAAAGCACTTGGATCTCACACAGAAAAAGTGCAGGTAACTGTGCCAAATTTATTTACTGTTATCACTTCTGCTATGACCACCTCAGGGGAGAGCTTGGCTCTGTTCCTACTGGTAGACAAGTCAAGAGGATTAAGAATTAACCCCATCCACTCCTGCACAGGCTGGACTGTCAGGGCCCCAACAGAGCGCAAACACCCCTAGGCCTCAGTTCTGCCCCAACATAATGGGTACAAACAGTTAAACACCACTTTTAAAAACAAAGGCACTGGGGAAAAGGGTTTCTACTTTCTCTAAGTCAGCCCTGTGGGAGCCCCCAAGAAGCGGGGAGAAGGGTCTTACCTTCCTCCTTGCAACAGCCTTTGAGGCCTTCCGGGTCTCTATTCTGAAAGTGCGGACAATCTGGGGATACAAGAGGAGAGGTTTGGGCTTCCTGTTCCTCCAGGTTCCTGGGGCCGGGAGATCTTCTTCATCAAACCACCAACACACACCACCCTCTCCTGGTCCAAGTGCCCCCAAGCAAAGGGCACCCACCTCCTCCCCCAGCCTCACCTTGAACTTCTTGCCATCCTCATCTATCTTGTACTCAGTCACAGTCTTAATGTTTCCATTGATGACCTCCTTAGGAGGTGGCAGTGGAGCTGGGAGAAGGGAAAAGGCGAGAGGAGCTGAGCCCTGGGTAATGGGGACAGGAGGGAATGTGGCTGGGAAGAGAGGCAGCCCAGGGTTGGAGCAGAGGTTGTCACTCACCTCCTGGCACTAGCTCAGGTTCTGGGCTGGTATCCCCGGTGGCCAGAGGGATGCCCTTGAGGAGCTCACTGGTGACGCATTTGTCTGTGAGAGGGAGTGTGGGGAGCAGGTGTCAGCTGGAGAGATAGGAGCTCCCAAGCTGAAATGGAGGGACTCTGGGGATGATGCCCACACCAGGAGCTGAGACAGGCAGAACCAAGGGCAGAAGAGTAGCCAGAAAGCATCCTAGGATAGCCGCGCGGGGTCATGAAGCTAGCTGGCTGTAGTACGTCCCAGCAATGGCAAGCAGAGGGGATCCTTAACATGAAGGCAGGGGCAGACCACAGGCATCTAGGCGGTAGTGCAAAGGCAGAAGGGAGGCTATTACAACTTCCTCCCCGAAGTAGGGGCGCATCTGTGCTGATACCAAGGACCCGGGCCGTGGCATGGAAGGAAGAGGGACTCCCCAGGGAACATCTGAAATTGGAGTCAGGCTGGCCCGGAAACGGATGGCGCGGGGCAGGGGCTGGCCGTGAGGGAAGACGCAGGGTCAGACGGCGATGCCAGGGCGGGGGACTGGAGCAGGCGGCAATGACCGGGCTGGAGGCTGGCTGTGGATATCCGAGGCGACGACGCATACTCACCGTCCTCTCCCTCCTCCTCCACCTGATCGGCCCAACTGGGCTTCGAACTGCGGGGACAAGTTTGCCGGGAGGAGGGTCGGGTGAGGCGAGGCCCCGCTCCCACGGTCTCGGCGCACCCAGGCTCCAGAATACTCCCTACAATCCCCAGTCCGCCTCCCCAGCCTCCCCTGCCTCCCCCGACGACCCCAAACTCACTCAAAGTCTCCGGTAGGCATTGCAAGATATTCTCCACGCAGGGCAAACCTGGCCCAAAGACCGGAAGTCAGGGGAGACCGAGACTTCCGGCTCCGCCACCTAGAGCAGCCCGGCTGCGGCGTCCACAGCGCCCTCATGCGGACGGAGGTAGAGGCGCCAACAGTGAGAGGCTGAGCCCTGGAATCCAACTAGGTAGCTGGGTAGAGGCGCATCTCATTTATCTTCTTAATTTTTTTTAATCAATAATAACAGTAAAGCTTAGTTATTGAGATCTTACTGTTCTCAAGAACTGGGAAGAGGAAATTATAATTTCCATCTTGCAGCTGAAGAAACCAAGACTGGTCTTCCTTGTCTGGGAAGAGCTTTCCTGATATGAATGATCAAGATGTCAAGTGACCCCATCAACGATTCTCCCTCCTATCTTTTGTAACATTCTTGGCCCCCTGATATAATCTTTTCCATTTACTTGTGTATTGTCCAGCTCTCCCTCTAGGGCGTGCATTCTCAATGGAAGTCTTATGACTCCCAAGGGGTCAAATAATTCTTGGGTGACTAAAAAAACCTTAGACATTACAATGGCTTGTGGCCCTCCAAAGCCAACCTTCCCAGACACAAGTCTTATTCCTAATTATTTAATTTCCACTTCTAGGGATAAATTAAATGTGATTTGATTAAAATGGATTGAAATTAAATTGAAAGATAATTCAATTTTGCTCCTACAGAGGAGCAATAATGAAAAAAATGAGTGAGAAAAAAATGCTTGCTCTAGAATGTCAGTTGCAGAAAGCGGACATCTGCCTGCCTGCTTTGTTCACCTCTGGGTCCCCAGGACCCACGGGGTATCTGCACTAAGTAAGTGCTTAATTAATGGGGATATGGGATGGGGTGGGAAACAGATCATAAAGTACTTTTTAAAAATTGAAGTATAGTTTATTTATAATGTTGTATTAGTGTCAGGTGTATAACAAAGTGATTCAGTTATATATATATGTATACATACATATATTCTTTTTCAGATAATTTTCCATTATAGGCTATTACAAGATACTGAATATAGTTCCCTGTGCTGTACAGTAGGCCCTTGTTGCTTATCTATTTTATATATAGTAGTGTATATATGTTAATCCCAAACTCCTAATTCATCACTCTCCTGACCCCTTTCCCCTTTGGTAACCATAGTTTGCTTTCTATGGCTCATAAAGGACTTTTAAAATCAGACTAAAGAGCATAGGTTCTTTATCCTCAGGCTGTGGGGTGCCAGTGAGGTCACTTGACATGTTTTGAGTGGTGACTCATTGTGACCAGATTTTCTTCGGAGAAAGATTATTCTGGAAGCCTGTAGAGGGTAGCATAGAAAGGAATAAATTACAGGAGACCAGGAAGGTGGCTGGCAAAGTGAGTGAAAGAAAGAGGGTGGCCTGGAAACACAGATGAAAATACAAAGTTTGTACAAAGGGCCAGTAAACATTTGTGCAAACTCACTCAAGTTTACACCAAGAAATGCAAAATCCAAACAATGTTGCAGTGGGCAAAACTTTTAAAAAATTGAGATTACTCAATGGTAGCAAAGATGTAAAGAAAAAGACACTCCCTCACATTGTTAGTACATGAAATTATGCAAACTCTTTAGATGGAATATTGACAACATCTCCTAAAACTTAAATGTACATATGTATTTTCCTTTGAGCCAGCTAATAATTCAACTGGGGAGAAAAATTTGTAAATATGTGCAAAAATGTAAGAATAAGCTATCTGGGAAGTATTGTTTATGACAGCAAAAACTGGCAACACCTATCTGTCCATTCTTAGAGGCTGGTTAAATAGATTAAGGTATGCTGTGCAGTGATTTATTAAATGCTGTGTAGTCTTTAAGGAAGTAGATCCATTTGTGCTCATGTGAAAAAAATATATATATATCCAAGATAAGAAGAGAAAGCAAGATATAAAATGGTATATACTGTAGGAACCAATTTTTGTAAATCTTTAATAGCGTGAAAACTATTTTCTGAAAAGAAATAAACTGTTGCTGAGGGATGTTTTGAGAGGAAGCCATTAGGGAAAAAAAGATTATTTTTGGGCTTTTCTGTTGTATTTAAAATTTTTTACCGTTTGATTTTTTTGGTTTAAATATAAATATATGCATAAATATAAAAGTATACTTTGTATATGAATGCATAGTATATATTTATGTAATATATATGAGGTGTAACACATAAGTGTATTTTAATACATATTTCATATCCATGAGCTTGCACTTCCTCTTCTAGGAGTGGCCTAAGGAAAAACATGTCCAAGTGCACTAAATCGTCCATAAGAAAGTGTCCATCACAGTGTGGTTTAAAGGATTGGAAAATTGAAAACAGCACAACCATCATGATTAAAGGATTGGCTAAATGTTGCCCCATTCATCTGAGCACCACCCCTGGAGAGAAAACTGCATATTTCTCCTTGCCCAGAAGGACATTAACCACTAAACACTGGTGCTCCTGGGTGTTTTGGTTTGGCCTCACCTTTACAGGCATACCTCTTTTCATTGTGATTCACTGATTTTTTTTCAACCAGTTGAAGTTTTGTGGGATCTCTGCGTTGTCAGATGATGATTGGCATTTTTTAGCAGTAAGTATTTTTAAATTAAGGTATATGCATTGCTTTTTTTTTTAGGCATAATGCTATTGTGCACTTAATAGACTACAGTACTGTGTAAACATAACTTCTATATGCCCTGGAAAACCAAAAAAATTTGTGTGACTTGCAACATTCACTTTATTATTTATTTACTTATTTATTGCAACATTTGCTTTATTGCAGTGGTCTGGAACTGAATCTGCAATATCCCCAAGGTATGCCTGACTTCCTTTTCACTATTCTCTTGTATAGAATACTTTTTCTTAAATATCAAATGTGTTATTTTTACAAAAAGTCAGGTATTTTGCAAGGATAAATAAAAGGGGGTCCAGGGGCGCATAGGGCAGTACGGAGAAACCTGAAGTCTGGATTGGAAAAAAAGTCCCGGGGCCCCCCCTCCGGTCCTCCTTTGTGGCACCGACATTCTTTCCACGTGCACAATCTCCACGGACAGCGGGCAGGACAAGAGCAAAAGCAATCCAGCGCAGGGCATGAGGGGGCAGGTGGGGGAAGGTGGACACGCGCGGTGCGCCATCTGCTGGCCAGTCAGCAGCACTTCAGGAGGATTCACTGGCTCTCACAGGTGGAATTCCACTGCTCAGTATTCTTTGTAAGAACGGAAACCACGCATCCACATAGAATACATACACAAATGTTTTTTGCAGATTTATTTCACCATGGCCAAAAACGGGGAACAATTTGAATTAGTTCGCTAGGTCAGCCCTAACAGAATACCACAGGCGAGGTGACTTATAAATAACAGGAATGTATTTTATCACAGTTTTGGAGGCTGGGAGTCTGAGATAAGGTATCAGCAGATTGATTCCTTCTGAGGTCTCTCTCCTTGGCTTGTAGGTGGCTGTCTTCTCCCATATCTTCACATGGTCTTTATGAAGACACCAGTCATGTTGGCTCAGGGCCTACCTTGATGACCTCATATTAATTCAATCACTTCTTTAACGACTATCCCCAAATACACTCATGTTCTGAGGTACTAGGGGCTAGGGCTTCCACAAATGAATTTTAGGGGCACAAAATTCAGGTCGTAACACAACTCAAAAGTCCATCAAGGTGAGGAGGGTAACAGCTCAGTGGTAGAGCGCATGCTTAGCATGGACACCTGGGTTCAATCCCCAGTACCTCCATTTTAAAAAAAAGTCCATCAACAGAGGGATGACAAAAAAGGATAAACTGTGGTCCATCTCTATGATGGAGTACCTTGTGGCTATAAAGAGGAACAAATGATTGTTATAATCAGTGACGTGAATGCATGTCTCAGACACAAAAGAACAGATACCTTACGATTCCATCTGTGTGAAATTCTCAAACAGGCTACACTAACCTATAGTAACAGAAATCAGACTGTGATTACCTCTTAACAGGAACAGGATCAGCTTGGGAGGGGTGCTAGGCAGCCTTCCCAGGTGGTGGGGATTTTCCACATCTTGATCTGGGCAGCTGATAACTCAGGCAAATAAATACACACGTTGAAAAATCCAGCTGCACATAAAAGATCTGTGCATTTTAATAAAGTCTGGAGAGGAACAAAGCAAGGTTCAGAGTCACTCCATCCCAATTCTCTGCTTTATTTGGATGGTAGCCTTTCTCGCTTTTTAAAATCTCTTCGTCACTTGTGGAGTTTGCCTGCCTGCTTTGTTCCTAAGGCAGGGAGGGACAGCAGTGGTCTGGCTTATTGCTACATGCGCGCCCAGCCCCAGAACGGGGACTGGGATCGCCAGCGGTGGATCAGTGGTTGTGTGACGATGTCTGTGCAAGTTCTCAATCAGTAGTTGCAGATGATTGCATGTCACCGTGGACAAAGCTGATGGGCCCATTACACTTGTGCGTGATCGTGGTCACTGTGGTGATGATGGGGTGTTAGAAAGGCTTCCTCGTGACACAAAAAGGGGAAACAAGTACTGACCATTTTGGCTGCTGTTGAATGCAGTGTCTTTTCTACAGCTTGCTTTTCTTTAAAAACTGCAAACATGCTTGAAGGAGAAAAGTACGTTGCAGACAGATATGTGTGGTAGAATAGATTAACATAATGTTTTGAAAGACACAGACAATATTAAGTTTATAGACATGCGGTAATTGTGGGAAAGCCTGGACAGGAAGGAGACATAGCAACGCTTTCACAGTGGTTGTGTCTGGGGAAGTAGCAGACAGGGATCTGAAAGGCACACGAAAGGGTTTTAGCTGTGCCTTAAATATTTCCTTCATTAAAAAAAAAACCTGCTGCTGTGGAAAACAGTATGGTGGGGACTCACAAAATCAGAGTAGAAATATGACCCAGCAATTCCACTTCTAGGAATGTACCCAGAAGAACTGAAAGCAGGGTCTCGAACAGATCTTTGTCCAACCACAGTCGTGGCAGCACGATTCACAGAAGCCAAAAGGTGGAAATAACCCCGGTGTCCATCGAAAATTGTTCCCAGTAGCATATCATATTC